GAGTGCCTTGTCAAACATGTACCTGCTGAACTCTGAGTTCTAGTGGAAGTCACTTCTGAAGCTAATAAAAGAAGGATTTCTACAGATGTTTATTGCTGCTAAAAAGAAAAGTAAGCTCAGTCAAGTTCAGTGAGATTTTGTGTGTGTAGGCTGGCAGTTGTGGTCACTTCTTGCTTTACCATAAAACACTGTTACCGCCTTACAGACCTCAAGCTGTTTGCAAGCTATTTCTGCACTACTTTGATCCATACTTGCTACAGTACTTACGTAGGACTTTATTCTACTTCCAACTTATATCCCTGTTTTAATACTTCTGTTGCTAATGCCAACAGTACAACATTTGTGTGTCTTAGCATTTCTATCAATGTTCACAGACCAAAATATTTCTGAATCTTGCACTTTTTCAACTCTGACCCTTTCCCTAGATGCTGAAAAAGCCATCTGTGCAAAATATCCCAGATGGGAGTATTCTAAAAAGCACTGAGTAATTTCCTGTACCAAAACTCAACTTTCACCTTAGAAAGCAGAAACTGGTCATGCTCTTTCTGACATTTATTCTGACCTGATAAAAAAAGTATCTGCAGCCATGCAGCATAGAGAGGTGAAGCTGGAGAGAACAGACCCTTCATCACTTTATGGCTGTTGTTGATGTTAGCTAAGTTTGTAGCTTGCCTTTCCTCCACTGAGCTGATCTATCAAAAGCATACTTGGCTCTTGATAGATCAGGCAGAGACAGAGTAACTGGCTCCTGATCACTTATTTTCATGGCTCAGGGAGACTGGTTCCCACTCCGACCGCCTAACAACTACTCCACAATTCTTTTTCTTAGAAAAAAATAGTGCTCTGTGACTTATTTTAGATGGGAATCTGGAATTACTGGATTTAGTCCTATGTTATACAATACGTTCCCAATTGCATGCAGGAGATTTTGAGTATTTGGGCCAGCCCTTTGAGGACACAAAAGCTACAGAAGGTCCAACAATCTCTGGTTCCATGATGGCACACCTACTCTCTTTTTCCACTGGTGGATAATACAAATTGCTGTCCTGGCAGGAAAGGAGGACATCCTAGCCCAGAAGCGTAGCACAGACCAGAAGAGGTATAAGCACTCCTGCTGGTGGTAGTGGTATACTTGTTTAACTAAGTCACGTTTGAGATGCTTCTGACTTGAAAGGCAATGTAGAAATAGAACAAGCAACCCCAGACTGGTACAGTAAATGTAAAGGTTCCCTTTGACATTTTTAGTCCAGTTGTGTCCTACTCTAGGGGGCGGTGCTCATCCTGCTTTTCAAGCCATAGAGCCAGCGCTTGTCCAAAGACAGTTTCTGTTGTCACGTGACTAGGGAACGTTGTTTTACTTTCCCACTGAGATGGTACCTATTTATCTACTCGCATTTACATGCTTTCGACCTGCTAGGGTGGTGAGGAGCTGGGACAAAGCGACGGGAGCTCACTCCGTCGCGTGGATTCGATCTTACGACTGCTGGTTTTCTGACCCTGGAGCACAGAGGCTTTCTGTGGTTTAGCCCACAGCGCCACCACGTCCCATGTAGACTGGTACAGTAGTTTCACAAAATAACTTGAGTTCCATGTTTTCATTGTATTCCCAAACTCAGCAATTCATAGAGCAATTCCACAGTCTTTTAGTTCCACTGAGTAACAAAGAAATTAAGATAAATAATTTCCTTGCTATGAAGATAAATCTTTTGGCAAAAAAAATTCAAGAGCAACATCCATATATTGCCACTGTTGCCCCCCTAAAAAAACCCTACCCAAGAAAACCCAAAATTGCCTGCAAGACGCTTGTCTTACAGTACATGGTAACAACTTTTAGGGGTGGGATGTCAAATGCTTTGGCCCTGAGTCAAACATTTGACATAGCAAATAAATCTTGGCTGTTCTTTTCCAAGTCCCTTGAGGTGTTTGCTTCCTTAAATTAAACATTTTACATTGTTAAAAGAACAAAGGCACATAAGGGAAACCATGTTGAGCAGCTGACCTGCTACCCAAAGTTCTAATGTGGCTGAGCAGTATAAGCTATTTGGCTTAAAGCCACACCTCTACTTGCTTTTGGGACCGTTGAATCACTTACTAATGATATTTTCCTCTTTAGCCCACCTTGTGTGTGTTATCGCCATTTTTAGGCAGCTCTTTTCCCATCTGGAATACAATGGCCTCTTGCCTGTTGCAGTGCTTCTTACTGAAACAGTCAGATATACAGGGACTTCCTTCCTGATAAACAACTGTATTGTTTCTGTAAGCTCTACAGAAGGTCTAAATACTGCATTTTAATAGACTTCTTCAAATGATCAACTACTTAGGAAATATAACTTGTGAAGCTGTATATAGCGATAGTGTCTTTGTGTCTCTGAAAGGAAGCCATAATATACAAAGGCAGCTAAAGATGGCAGACACATCTCCTGATGCATGTATGGTCATTCATCCCATCAGGTCCAATGGGATTTTCTACCTCAGGCATGCTGAGAATGTGTATCAGCTGCTCATAAAAAATGCAGGCACTTCAGCTCCATGAACCCAGTCTCCAGTTACCACCATTCCTCCAATCAGCAACCATGACTTTAATCTGATACTGTCCCCTTCATTAGTAGTAAAACTATGAAATGATGAACCAGGGTTTTTAACAGTAAAATCATGGTTTTTAACTCCATCCTATGGAGTTCATGGCCTTGAAAAGTATCACCAGACTTTATCTTTTTATTCTTTTTCATTAGAAAGATAAAACTATTTTTATTGAGGAAGTCTGTTCTGGAATTCAAATAAACCAAAAGGTTTTAAGTGGGAATTATATTGCTGCTGCGTTTAAATGGTGTTTCGAAATCTGCATTCTTTGTTTTAACATACTATGTTGGGGTATGAGCAAGAACCAATATGCCCCATCAGGAAGGATTTTAGACTCGTCCCTTTCTTCTTCACTCTTGGAAACCACTAATAGAACACATACATGAAACTCCTTCTCTTGGTGCCTTCAGAGCTCTTCTCCCAACCCATCTTTACCATGGAACCTTTCATATAAGTCTGTACTTACCCTACGCTACTGAAATTCATCCCACCTTCCAGGCAGGCAATGGCCCTGACCGAAATTTGTGCCAGCATAGTGGCTGTGTCCCTGTGCTGGAGGAGGTTCGGATCTGGCATAACATGGCTCCCCTCCCATATTGCCTTTTCTATGCCCTCTTTTCTAATTCTTTGACTTGGAGATCCTAGAACCACTCTGTTGGTAACTGATCTATTGGCAGAGAAGGACATTTTCTGCCAGATGAATCCCTACAGCCACGACATCTTTCAGTTAGATTTACACCTCTCACATCACCGAAACAGTCATATATTGCTGGTATACATACCCGGGGCTCTACCTCCTTTCCCTTCCTCTGCCCTGGAAGTGGTGGCTATTTATTTATTTATTTATTTATTTATTTATTTATTTGTTTATTTGTTTGTTTGTTTGTTTGTTTGTTTGTTTGTTTGTTTGTTTGCTTGCTTGCTTGCTTGCTTGCTTGCTTGCTTGCTTGCTTGCTTGCTTGCTATTTGAAGTTATATCCCACACCATCTGGCAACCAGGCCATTCTGGGCAGCTAACAACAATAGGAGAAAAAAAAATTAAAAACACGATAAAAATAAGTTAATACATAACAAATCAGAAATTAAAATAGATGGCAGTAAGGTGGTGGAAAGGGTGAACACAATACTACGGTGATATACTGCAATCTCATTAAGCAAGTGTGAGGAAATTATTGTGTACCCACACACTGATGAGGACTTATTCATGATATGGCAAAGCCTTGAAAAAGATGTGAACATAAAAAGCATACTGGATACCCAGGAAATCTAGATGAGTTGAGTCCTCATTAAGTTGAACCATGGGATTCAGTCTGGGTGAACACAATACTACGGTGATATACTGCAATCTCATTAAGCAAGTGTGAGGAAATTATTGTGTACCCACACACTGATGAGGACTTATTCATGATATGGCAAAGCCTTGAAAAAGATGTGAACATAAAAAGCATACTGGATACCCAGGAAATCTAGATGAGTTGAGTCCTCATTAAGTTGAACCATGGGATTCAGTCTGAATATTTTCAGACAGGAAAGTGTGATTTCAGAACTTTTGCTCCCCTCTCACAGTTTCTCTTAACAAAAGGATAAGAGTTTGTTTCTTACCTCTCTACTGATACACAGATCTACCACATCTGTTTTTCCTCTTTAGTGCTATCAGCTCAGTTGCGCTTTTCCTGCTCTGGAAAAACTCTGAAATGCTTTTTCTAATGACTGTTTTCCTATAAAGAATATGCCAGAAAGAACTGCTTGAATGCAGGGACAATTTTCTCTCTCTCTGTGTGTGTGTGTGTGTGTTTGTGTGTGTGTGAGAGAGAGAGAAAGACTAAGAGTAAAAACCCATACAATACAACATACTAGTTACTGGGAAATCAACAAATTAAAGTACATGTATTCTTTGTAGAGGAGAGGACAGGAGAATGAAAGAAAGCCACATGTATAAGATGAATTCTGGTGAAAATTTGCTAAAATATTTTGAAAAAGTAACATTACTATTTCCTTTTTAATTGTTGATTCACTCAGCAAATGCCTAGTAATAGAAAATAAACTGCAGAATAAGGGTATTTCTAAAACTCACCCCTTGACCCTCACCTAGTAATTCTGAACACCAAGCATACTAATTTAGCACACATGAGCTCAGATTTTTGGAATTATATTTCTCAGCTATAACTCCCTGAATCCCACAGCCAGCATTCGCTGTGCAGAATCAAGGCCAGTGATCCATAAATTGTAATCCTCCCAAAAAGAGCTTTTCCAGCCTCTGCCTGAATGGCATCATGTGCCATTTAATTGGTCTTTTCAGCATAACTGATTGTAGATTTAGTAAATTAAGAATTCACATTGTGATTGAGAAAATAATATTGGCAGCATTTTTAAGAGGATCTCCTCCAAATGAAACAAAAATAGCACACATATGCATTGCACACTGATAAGCATGATCATTTATTAAGCACAAAAACTTATACAACATTTAACGTTATGTTTATATATCTCAGTTGCTCTACAGTCAAAAGGGGAAGGAAAAAAGAGCATGATCCCTGCTCCTTATTATGAAAGCAATGTAGATCTGAAGAACAAAGTGACTCCAGGTAGGTTCAAGTAGTTTCAACCAGCTCAAGACATGGCAATTCCTCAGATCTTCTCATAAACTCTTGTGCAAGTAACACCTTTCACGGTGCATTCCTAAAAAATCAAAGAGAGTTGGAAACATCATTGGAGATGCTTATAAAAAGTATATTGAAGTTGTGCTACATCACACTGGAAGCACCTTGAGAATCTTAAAACTGTTGTGGTCCTTTGACCTTGTGAAAGCCATATATACAACTCATAAAACATGACCAGACTATCACAAGAGGTTCAGCATTTGCATGAAGCTCAGAATGCAGCTCAGAGAGGAAGATTAAATCTAGTCATCCTTAAACTATGTTTAAATCAAATTCAAATATACCTTTTAAGAGTCATGTATTTTTTAGCTATGTTTGTGATGTTTTCTCCTTTTATTTTATTTATTTTTATTTATTTATTTAATTTATATGCCACCCACATTACCCAAAGGTCTCTGGGCGGCTTACAACATTTAAAATATAATAAAAATTCAGAACAATTAAATGTTCCGAAAGACTAACCATGTTAGTTTGCTTCACAGGGTGTAACAAAACAAAGGCTTACGTCACTTATGAGAGTAACAGTTTAATCTCTGTAGGATTTTAGTCTATGGAAGTTTAAGCTAAAATAAAGCTGTTTGCCCCAAAGGTGCTATGAGCCTTTCTTTTATTATTTATTTAGTTGTTTTTGTTGTAGTTTCTGAAATCTGCAACTGTGATGTGGAGGATGTTGCAGTTCAGAAATGATGGACAGTAAGTTTTAGGTCTCCATAATTATAGTGGAATAGAGACAACTGATTTCAGGTGCTTCTTCTCAGTGAAATAAATGGAACTCGAGTGCTGTTGCGTTCAAAGTGATTTTTTTTAAAAAAACCAGTAACTTACCGCCACCATTTTCCCATCAACTAGCTTCCTTCTTATTGTTGTTTCCTTGCCGTTCCACTTCTGCACTTGTACTAGCACACCTTTTTCTAAGGTTACAACAGTCTGCAAAGAATATATTAAAATGTGACTATTTTTACTTGGCCCTTTGGAAAATAAAGATGCAAGTCAGTCTGTAGTATGGTTAGGGATATTCAGGCCAATGATGTCAACATCTTTGACCATTAGCCTATTACTAATCCCAACTAGAAGTTGAGAGTCCTATTCTCCACTATGCCTCCGGGGAGAAGAGCCAGCCTGTGTTTCTTTGGGCGAGCTGCAGAGTCCCAGGACACTCCCAGGAAAAGGGAATGATTAACCACTTCTGAGTACTGTACTCTCTACCTAAATAACTCTGAAACGGATCGACTTAAGTCAGAATTGACTTATGACACATGATTATTAAAAACAATTAATATGGTTTACATAGGTTTGATTTACCATTCAGCAATCGCTTCCATGGATCTTCTCTCTAGTAGAAGCTACCAGAGGTATACTAGCCTATGTTTTCTACTTTGTGTTACACTGCAATGTCACATACAACCTATCGTGATCCTAATAGGGTTTTCAGGGTATCAGAGATATTTAAAGATTAGTTTTACCAGTGCCACTCCCTTCAAGTGAGTTCCTATGGCTGTGCAGGGATTTGAACGTAGGTTCCCTGAGTCCTAGTCTGTCACTCTCTCTATTACACCACACTGGCATGTAATTATTTCTCAAGACTATATACATTTTTTCAAATATTAATGCATATACATATGTCTGCTAGCAACTGACCTTTAGTGCAATATGACCTCTTTCCCTCTAATCTCCGCTGCAACTCTTTGTGTCACCCAAAAAATCTCCTCCAAAAGGGTCACTGGACCCCTAGAGCATGTTTGGGGGGTTTACAGGTGCTGAAGGAGATATAAAGAATCATCTCCTTTCTCACTTTCACCAACAGAAGCAGTTCTGTCAATATACAACCCTTCTGGGTCCTGGTCTTGGTGACTTCCATCTAAAGCACTCATTAGGGTGACACCTCTTTAGCTTTCCCCAAGTTGCTCCTTGTGATACCTAAGTTGATCTGAGAGAGGAAGAAGACCAAGTATTGTCCAGACTCCCAGACAAGTAGCTCGTCCTTGGATCACCAACACATATTGCTGGACTCCTATTGCTCCTTGATGGGAAAACACTTTTCAATCAAGAACCATAATGGAATTGTAAACCAGAAATTAAAACAATATTAAATATGTTTACTTCAAAATGAACTTTATCAAAATCAATAGGCTTAACATCAGAGAAAATATATTTGGGATGGGATCATTAAAACAAGATATAGAGTTACCATATTTCACTCCAGAAATTCAACATGTGGGACAAAACCCAACCCTATCACCTTTCGTGTTCTTTACCCCTTCTTCTTTTTTTCTAGCATCATTCTAAGCTGGTGTTTGCAATTATTCCCTAGGACACATACTTATAATTCCAACCAACAGAACAGTGGTTTCCCTTTAAATTACAATTATTTTATCATAAACAGCTAAGGCACCAGTACAAGAGGCCAGTGCAATGATCAGAAAATAAGATATGTATTTTTAAAACATTGCTGAAGATGATTCTCAAATGACTGGTTGCTTTTTTCTTTTCCTTCATAATGACAATTGTGCTTTAAAAAACAAATGTGTATGTATGAGTGGATCTGTGACAAAAGAGTGCACTGTGTTTTCACTCCACTCTGAGCAGGATTCCAGCCAACCATTCCCTCCAAACCCCAAAGTAACCTTTTGAATCTCTGCTTAAGATAAAGAGTGCAACCACGCTGGTCCTTTTGTTGTGGGCTGGTGTTATAGGGTTGCTTAAGGTCACGGGGAGGAGCAATATGCCATTTTGTATGATCCTCATGTCCAAATGGCATATCAGTCTCAAGCTCTGGCTCCTGCCACTGAGAGTTGAACACTTCCCCTGCATATCTGTAGAGGTACAGGGAAAATGAAATTATTATTTTTGGCTGTGCTTGACCCATTGTTGATGCACTTAATTGCTTAGATTTTTTAAAAATATATATATTTGCCTTGTGTCTAGTGCTGATTGAGAAACTGCTTGCAGTTACAGTTATGATCAGCACATCACACAAAGGCAAATATATTTGTTTTTAAAAATTAATCTAGGTGATTCAGTGCAACAGCAATGGTCTACTAAAGTAAAAATGGAATAGTTTCTGTTTCCCTGGCCTCCTGCAGTGGAGCAGGGAATAGTTCAATTTGCTGGTATCCTGAGGTGGTTTACTAATTAAGCCACTTCACAGTTCTGAAAATTGAAAATAGAAGAAGCCTTGGCAGTTTTGACATCTGTAAGGTTTGACTTGAGTTCAATCCCAACTATTACACACACAAGAAATGGACTAAATTAGAGTACACCAACTCATACACACACAAAAGTAGAAGCCTCTGAGAGATGCTCAAAATGACACAGGTTAGGGTGCACTGGGAGCAAATTGGTCCACCCTAGTGATTGCATTGTGTGGTCACTGGAACAAAAATAAGCCAGTCTAGCCCCACAACATATCAAACAGCAGGACAAATACCCATCTGAACAAGCACTAAGGTAGTTTTGTTTTAACCTGTATAGTATTTATAATATCTTTATAGGGCTATATAAAATGGAAATTACATCAATTATTTTTAAATTACACTTCTTTCCTTTTCACTCTTCTCCTCCTCCTCCTCCTCCTCCAATTAATCTTAAATACAACCAACCATTTGCTAAAAAATTCTCACCCCAATCATAAATTGAAATAGCAGCTCTAGGTAAGTGACAAGGTAAAGCTTCATACTGGCAAGATCTACTGTATACTCTGAGGATTCTATACATCAGTTGTATGCTATCTTCTTATATGGCACTGTTAAAAGGATAAAATGCTAAAGCTTGGGAAATCTGGCTGCAGATTCTAGAATTGCCATGTGACTGGATGATTCTGGGATGTGTAGTTTTAAAAAGTAATTTCTTCAAACTTCACAAAATGACTCATGATTCTGCTGTTTGCACTAAGTATGGTAAACAGATGGAGGGATGTGGTGGTGCTGCGGGCTAAACCGCAGAAGCCTTTGTGTGCTGCAGGGTCAGAAGACCAGTAGTCGTAAGATCGAATCCATGTGACGGAGTGAGCTCCCGTCACTTTGTCCCAGCTCCTCACCAGCCTAGCAGTTCGAAAGCATGCAAATGCAAGTAGATAAATAGGTACCACCTCGGTGGGAAGGTAAACAGCGTTCCGTGTATAGCCGTGCTGCCCACGTGACCACGGAAGATTGTCTTCGGACAAACGCTAGCTCCACAGTTTGGAAACGGGGATCAGCACCACCCCCTAGAGTCGGACACGACTGACTAAATGTCAAGGGGAACCTTTACCTTTATGGTAAACAGAATGAGAAAGTTAGAGATTATCCTTCACCTTGGTTTTCCTATTATCTGCTGTGGTCTCTTGAAATTCCTGGCCCAATTTAAAAGTGATCTGTGTCTTTTTGAAGGGACTTTCAGTTCGGATCGTGATCTCATCACCCTTCATGTCGATGATGACTTTTGGTTTGGTCAAATTGCCAAGTTTTCTGGTGGCCAATCCCACTCCTAGAAGTGAGGCAAAGAAAACAGCATTGTCGCCCATTTGTTGAGACATTCTCTATTACGTTAACATGCATCACAAAATCCATAGCACGAAATATATTTCTGAAATGTTCCAGAAAGTGAGAAATGTAAGTACAGAGGATGAAGAGGTTATTCATTACAAATGACCAAAATATTACTGTATTTTAATTGGCAGATTATTAGTGTTTCCCAAATTATCTTTGACAAATTTGAATTCTAGTGGCTCACCATTAGAAAGACAAGTCAGAATACCAGTTGTTTGCACAGGCTTGAAGAGAGGACAAGATTCATGTCATATGAAGTTTTCATTTCCTTTTATATTAAAAGGCAATATGTACCTGGTTCTACATGATATCATTACTCTTTTGAGTACTTAGTACTGGATGATGCACACCTAAATGAGAGAACTAACTTGACTGAAAGTCAGGGGTCAACCAAAGTATTTTCATACCTGATTTGACGGACAGGATGAAACCCTTTCTTCATTCTACCTAGAGTAGCAAGTTGGACTCGCAGTTAAATAGATAAGTGAATGTCCTCCACCATGTCTGAGATAGCAAATTAATTTAGGACACCCTGAACATGTTGTGGATAGAGAGGAACTGCTATGGTGTCTGGGATGAACAGTCAGGAGGCTAACATTGCTACCTAGTATCTCCTCTCTGGACCAAATGCCCACATCATAACAGAGTTGTTCCTATGAAAAAGACTGCATTGGAATTGATGCCTCCTGATCTGAAAGTTTTCTCTTTGGTGTATGATCTATAGTGCCCCATTCTCAAAGCAAAGATCTACTTCAAGTGGTTGCTGTGGGTTGATGAAACCTACAGTTAGAAGTAGGTAAGCTTCCTTCTGTTACAATGTTTTACCTAAAACCTAGGTATCTTGACAAAATAATTAACCAGATGCAGGTATATTCCAAACCTATCTAAATTCATTGATTAAACTGTCAAGGACTGAATTTTACCCCTGAAACTGACACTTGATTGGGGTAATGGAAACTGTGATGTTTTCACATTCATCTCTTTCAGCATAACAAAAGAGGCATCTCGACAATGGTTATAAACTTCAGATACATATGGTTGTTGTGGGTTTTTCAGGCTCTTTGGCCGTGTTCTGAAGGTTGTTCTTCCTAACGTTTCACCAATCTCTGTGGCCGGCATCTTCAGAGTCCTCTGAAGATGATTGTTGTGGGTTTTTCGGGTCCTCTGAAGATGCTGGCCATAGAGACTTGCAAAACATTAGAAAGAACAACCTTCAGAACACGGCCAAAGAGCCTGAAAAACCCACAACAATCATTAGATCCCAGCTGCGAAAACCTTCGCGAATACATTCAGATAATACTTTGCAGATACCTTACATCTTAGCAACCTGACAAACTTGTGTATCATTGGTTAACATCTTGCTTATTGAAAGGATGACTACAATAACCACCACTTTTGACAATTTGTGACCAATGATAATGTAGGGAAAAAAATTGTATCCCTCTTCATTCTGATCCCACACCCACAACTATGTAACCGATGTATATAAACATGTGGATTGAATGCAGAATTCCATAGGGGAATCCCACAGGGGGGATTGTAATCCAGAAAAACTCAGATTAAAATTAAACAATTTAGTCTTAAAAGTGCCACTGGAGTCTTCTTCCTCCCCTTTCCTCTTTTTAATTTGTTTTGTTTTGTTACACTATGCCTAAAAATCCTATTAATTGTGCATGCAACAGCAAATGCTTACACTGACTTCTTAATTTAGCAATTCGCCATCAAGATTTACAGCAACTGCATTCTGTGCCTATAAAGTATTATTACATCTATTGATTGGTTTGGGTTTGGACTCAGTGAAGACCTATGAACAGGAAACATGTTATTTAAGTTAGTAATGACTGAGACAGTTTGAATCCAGCCATCTATTTATGTACAGCACCAACAATATGATTAGCATTTTCCAAATATAAAAATGTATGTCCATATACCAAGGAATTGACAGTTTAAAATGAAAATTGGTAAGTTAAACAAAGAATATTCCAAAAGATATGTGACAATGTGTTTTATCACTATTCTGTGGAATAAGTAAATTATTTAATTTTAAAAATTGGGTACCAAGACCATCTTTAGCAAATGCAGTCTGATGTTACACAAGATGTACCGTGAAACAAATATTCTTTCAGAAAGGAAAGGAAGTACTGTGAACATATCTAATAAATATGTTTATTAAGATAAAATAATTTATTTTCAGAAAAAGTGAAGAATTTCTCTTTATCATTCCCCAATATGTTGT